TCTGGCTCCTGGCTTCCTCTCTAACCTAAAAGTAGCTTGCTCTGCTCTAAGCAAAAACTTTTCTTCAATTCTCTCAGAACCTTTGAGCTCCTTCCCATTCTGGAACATTTGTATCTGCCTTCTTCTCTGCCTGGAATGTTTTATCCTCAAATGGTCACATAGGTGGTTCATTTTTTTTGTCATTCAGAATTTTAACCCCACATCACCTCACTTTAGTTCTCTCCTAAACACCCCTAGCTTATCCCCAGTCTCTCCCTCACCTCATTTGGTTTTTCTGTCTCCACAACAATGCGTTCATCTACTGGTATGTGCGGTTACTGTCTTCCTTTCCTTGGAATGAAAGCTCTGAGAAAGCAAGAGCTGTTTACCTGCTTGTAGCTGTTATCCCTAACCCCTACAACAGTGCTCCGTAGACAGTAGATGCTCAACAAGTACTTATTATACAAACAAATGACTCACTGGAGTTTCCTCAGAAACACACTTTTAATATATTGGCAGACCCAAAGCCTGTCATTTGCTCTCAGAGTTAATAGCATTGAAAATGAAGCCTAACTACTATCACCTGGGTAGAGAATTATTCAAGACAAGTACTTTAGTGAGTTTCGTAGACATTCATCTGAAATTTCAGTAAAGAGGTAGAAATAATCCTGTTCTACTTGATTCTGTGTAACAATCTCAAAAGACTTCAAAGGCCATAATCGAAAACTCCTAGGACAATATGATCCCCGGTTTATACTTGAGGAAACTCCATACAGAAGGCTTAAGTCATTGAAACTATCCTGGGGAAGCTTGATTCCTCCCGAACACTTCCTTGGGCCTCAGTGACAGTCCTTCTCTAAGGACACATGTTGACATTGTCTTGGGACAATGACCCAGGTGCCTGGCCAGGCACCACTCTTTGTTGCTAGTTAAGTACCAGGTCTGGAATCAGACAGAACTGGCATTAGCCCAGCTCCATCTCTTCCTTGCACAGGTCTAAAGGTGGGTAGAAAGGTTCTACTTACTTACGGAAAAGAAAATTAAGGCTCAGGGACGTGAGTTGCCCACGGAAGTGAGTGAGTACTTTTATCTACAGCCTATGGTCTCCTTCCTGAATCCCAGTTGCTCTTTTCTATGTTTCTGAGTTGACAGCGATAGGAGAGGAGACCTATTACTGCAGTGTCCCTGGATACCCAGTACCTTTGAGATTCTGTGTTACATCATCTTCACCAGAACCCTGAGAATTGAGTTTTATATACGTGTGTATTATTTATGGGTGAAGCCCAGAAAAATTAAATGACTCCCCAAAGTCACCCAGCTCTTAAGTGGCAGAGCCGGAAATCTATCTCAGACCTGCTTAACATCCAAACTCATGCTTTGAACCCCTTTACTATGTACCCAAGTTTCCTTTTCTATCAGCACAACTGAAGAAAGGAGAGTGGCGCACCTAAACAATTGTTAAATAACGACAAATGTAGAATCATGATTACTGAATTGTGTGGGCAACCACTGCCTTCTCCTTCCTGAGCAGGAAGCGGGTCCCAACCACTAGGAAACAATATCTAACAAATGCAAAATGAGATGAGAAAACTGTTAAAATTCTGTATTATCTTCTTTGATTCTGAAAATAGTAAAAGAAGAAACAAGAAATGGAACTTGAAAAGACATAAATCAATTTCTATTACATTTCCTTTCTTTTGTTTGCATCATTAGCACCTGGGGGAAAAATACCAACTAGGTGAAATGGAGAAAATGTGCTTTTGCAGTTCACTCTCTTTCAAGCCTAATGGTGTTCTCTTAAGTCACTCATGAAACACTTGGCTGATGGGGCAATGCAAGCATAGAGAAGGAAATGCACAAGGTCCTTTTGCAATACTATTTGTTTTTACTGACATTTTCAACTTTGGCCTCAGTTGGCCAGCCTTAAAAGGAAAACTGTCAATCTGCATGACAGACCTTCCGGGGCTTCTCCCTGTCCAGCACACAAAAGGAAAACAAAGCATTCCAACTAGCTTCTTGAAGGTAAGGCTGATAGAGAAGCCTCCAGTTCCAGGAGAGGCAAACTACCTGTCTGCCCCAGCCCAGGTGGCTGCTATCACTCTCAGGTTAAAAATCAGCTCTGAAGCATGGACAACAATTGGAGCTAAATTGTAGTTCCTTTCTTATTACAGTCAATTCTGCCTTGCCACCTGGCAGATAGAATATGCAAATGTAAGAGGAACCAATTGAGGCTGAGATTTTTCAGTAAAATCCCTTCAGTTTCATATCCTACAGCCAACATAACTTCATTGACAATACGTGCGTGCATTGTGTGAGTGTGTCTACACAAGGGGTCTTCCAAAAGTTTATAAAAAATATGTTATGAAAAAACTACATACAGATTTCAATCTTTTGCACCAAAGTAAACTCACACTAACTTGCTATGTCTGAACCAGATCTAGTTTGAGGCACTAACAAGGATAAGACATGATTGAAAAGATCGTCTCTCAGAGCAACATGAATTCTGCTAAAATTAAAGCAAGAACACACATCAAATTTTTTGGTGGAGCTTAGGTGGAAGAATGGCAAAATCATCGATGCCTTATGAAAAAGTTCATTAGGACAATGCCCCCCAAAAATGAGCAGCTTACAAACAGATAACTTGTTTGAAGAAGGGACGAGATGGTGTTGAAGATGAAGCCTGCAAGTGATATGCCATCCACATCAATTTGGGAGAAAGAAAATTAATCTTATTTGTGACTTAAATGAAGAGGACCAATGATTAACAGCAGAAACAATGGCCAACATCATAGAGATCTCAACTGGTTCAGCTTACACAAATCTGACTGCAAAATGAAAGTTGAGCAAACTTTCCACTCAATGGGAGCCAAAATCATTGCACCCAGTTCAGCTGCTGCCAAGAGCTGAGATTTCAATGGAAATATTAAACAAGTGGGATCAAGATCATGAAGCAATTTCTTTGAGAATTGTAACAGGAGTTAAAACATGGCCTTACAAGTGTGATCCTGAAGACAAAGCACAATCATAGGAATAGCTACCAAGAGGTGGAAGGGGTCCAGTCAAAGCCAGTGGACCAGTCAAGAGCCAAGGTCATGGCCAAGGTCATGGCAGCAGTTGTTTGAGATGCTCAAGGCATTTTGTTTCTTGACTTTCTGGAAGATCAAAGAATGATAACATCTGCTAATTATGAGAGTGTCTTCAGAAAGTTAGCCCAAACTTTTGAAGAAAAATGTATCGAAAATCTTCACCAGAGAGTCTTCCTCCACCATGACAATGCTCCTACTCATTCCTCTCATCAAACAAAGGCAATGTTTTTTAGAATTTCTATGGGGAAACCACTAAGCATTCACCTTACAGTCAGAATTTGACTCCTTCTGACTTTTTTTTTTGTTACCTAATCTTTAAAAATCTTTAAAGGGCGCCCATTTTTCTTTAGTTAACAATGTAAGAAAGACTGCATTGACATGATTAAATTCCCAGAGCCCTCAGTTCTTTAGGGATGGACTAAATGGCTACTATAATAGCTTATAACAGTGTCTTGAACTTGATGGAGCTTATGTTGAGAAATAAAGTTCATATTTTAAAACTTTTATCATTTAATTAATTTTTTCCATGAACATTTTGAATTCCCCTCATACTCATGTGTGTATATGCAAGTGAGTGTGTGGTTGTATGTGCATGTGATCAGCCAAGACAGGATGAAACAGATAAACTCAACCTTTAGCCTTCCTAGATGTGAAGGCTTAACAGGTCCTGACACATTGTAGATATCCACAAAGGACTACTGATTAGATAAAGAAATCCTATGCAAAGTAAAAATGTTACAGCCTACTTTTATCTTAATCTCAATAAAAAGTCCATTTCCTAACCCTGATGCTATTTAGCCACTTAGGAGTTGCAAGAATGGTGTCAAATACTTCATTTCAGGTCAACTATCCTGTAAGTGTTCACAATCCTTCTCCTCTAGACTTAAAAGGAACCAACACTTTCAATGCTTTGTGTCACTCAGATCCTGATAGTTTATGAAGACATTACTTTTTTTAAATTATACTTTAAGTTCTGGGGTACAAATGCAGAACGTGCAGGTATGTTACATAGGTATACACATGCCATGGTGGTTTGTGCACCCATCAGCCCATTATCTACATTAGGTATTTCTCCTAATGCTATCCCTCTCCTAGACCCTCAACCCCCAATAGACCCCAGTGTGTGATGTTCCCCTCCCTGTGTCCATGTGTTTTCATTGTTCAACTCCCACTTATGAGTGAGAACATGCATTGTTTGGTTTTCTGTTCCTGTGTTAGTTTGCTGAGAATGATGGTTTCCAGCTTCATCCATGTCCCTGTAAAGGACATGAACTCATCCTTTTTTATGGCTGCATAGTATTCCATGGTATATATGTGCCACTGATGGGTATTTGGGTTGGTTCCAAATCTTTGTTATTGTGAACAGTGCCTCAATATACATATGCATACATCTGTCTCTATAGTAGAATGATTTATAATCCTTTGGGTATATACCCAGTAATGGGATGCTTGGTCAAATGATATTTCTAGTTCGAGATCCTTGAAGAATCACCACACTGTCTTCCACAAAGGTTGAACTAATTTACACTCCCACCAACAGTGTAAAAATATTCCTATCTCCCCACATCCTCTCCAGCATCTGTTGTTTCCTGACTTTTTAATGATCAACATTCTAACTGGCGTGAGACGGTATCTCATTATGGTTTTGATTTGCATTTCTCTAATGACCAGTGATGATGAGCTTTTTTTATATGTTTGTTGGCTGCATAAATGTCTTATGAAGACATTTCAACAGGTTTCCTCAATACTTATGCAAACCCAAATTATTACCCCAGAGGGTATTCATAATACCAACAGCAATAGCAGTGGCTAATAAATATTGTGCATTCATGATGTATATGTCAGGCACTCTTCTAAGCACTTTAGAATTATTTACTCATTTTATCCTTAAAACAACCCTATAAGGTGGGTAATATTAATATCCCTATTTTCCAGATGGACAAACTAATACACAGAGAGGGGAAGAAGTAAAGAAACATGCCCAAATTCCCAATGAAGTAGAGTTAAGGTAAGGCTAAGGCATGAATAGCCACGGACCACAGAACATTGCTGAGAGAACACCAATGTCTCCATGCTGCAAACCACTACAGAGAGGCAAGCCTCCTCAGATATCTGTGTGTTTCTCCTGAGAAACAGAGACCTCTGTGATTCAGGATCCACTTTGACTCAAGAGGCTAATACTAAATGGCTGATTGCATCTCTCAAACAAGTCTTTCCAGCTGGAAAGAAATCAAGAATGTTTTCCGTTGGGCCCTCTGGTCTCCAATAAATCTCCTGTATCATGTAATGAATAAACTGTCCCAAGGCCCTCCCTCTGAGATAAATGGGCTCAATAAAAAACACTGAGTGTTTGAGGCCTCTTTTGGATTTGGAGAGGAAGCTTCCCATGATAGAAATCCACTGGGCCTTTAGAATGCTCATGACGCTAGGGCTGTGGGCAGCACAGAGGGCTCATGGAGACCAGTGTCCCAGTGTCTAGGAAGCTCATCTCCCCACCCACATGGGAAGAAGTCTGCTAGAGAGCTGTGAGGAAGGCTGGATAAAGGAGCTCTGCAAGAAAGTTTCTTTGTCCTGTAAAACTAGTCTCTAGTGTCAAACTTTTATGAAGGTCAGTAGTTCAACCTAGTTAGGACCTGCTCAAATCTTGTTCAATTCCTGACCCTGCCCCTCGCTTCAGGTGACACAGGTTGTTAGTTACTTAACCTGTCTGACACTCCACCTCCTCCTTGAGGTGGTCAGGGTTTATTGGACTATTAATGAGAAACACTTGATATGGTGTTTGACACTTAATAATCAGAGCAAATGGGCATTGCATACTTATTAGGTGCCTTATGTCCTTCAGCTAATTTAATTCTCCTCAAAATGCTATGAGGTAGGCACTATTGCTAAACCCATTTTAGAGATGAGGAAACTGAAGCACAAAGTGGTAAAGTCATTTGCCCAATGTCATCCAAGTGGGAGAGTCCAGGTTCTAACCTCTGTGCTATGCTGCCTACCACACAGACTCCTGGTTACAGGTACTATGCATTCTCTCCTGGATAAACCCCTAACACCGTTAATCTCATCTATACTGTTCCATAAGCCTCACATCAAGGGAAATAGATCTCTAATAAAATCATTCCAGCACATTTCAAAGCTTTGTCTAGATTGTAGAGCCTACAGGGAATAATAGCTTCTTGGTCCACACCAGTCATTTCTGAAGTCATAGAAAATCACAACAACATCTACTGGGAAGACAGCACTGTGTAATTTTCACCCACATTGCCATTATCTACATCTTCCTAAACTTTCCTGAGAGGTGAGTGGGCTGGTTCATGCAGTAGCTAGTATTGGAGCTGGGCTGCAAGGGATTTTCAACATGGAATCCAGGAGCTGGTCTTCAAGACATCCATGGACCTTTGAGATTATATGCAGGATTGTATGTGTGCATGGGTGTATGGGTGTGTCTGTATGTGTCTGTGTGTGTTTAGGTGGGGCAACATCTCTGGGTTTTATTGGTTCTCAAAAAAGTGTAACACAACCCAGGTAAAAAATTACAAGAAATTATTATCTCTATGGTCTCTTCAGTAATCAGAAATTCCAGTATTCTGGAAATTGGAACTTCCCTGTGGGCTTTGTGACAACAGAAATGGTACTGCCCTTCTTCACAATTATATCCCCAGGACCTAGTACAGTGCCCATGGCAGGCAAATGTTGAATGAAATGATGAATTAATAAATGCTCTCTTTCTGCCCCCAACCCTCAACAGGCGGCAGATTTATAGGGGGCAAAAAGATCACCTATCAGGTTCCTTCCCCACATCATCTCTGAAGAATCACCAGCTGGTCTTTGCTGAGAATCCCTTATTGGACAATTAAAATGTCTTTAACTCAGAACTTTGCTTCTGTGAACATTTGCTGTCTTCCCTAAAGCAAATGTTTCAGAGACCACCTTTTAGTTTTGTAACTGGCTTTATCTGTCTGAATGTGCAAGCCATCATCTCAGCAACAGGCATGGTACATTCACATACCATCACAGGGCCATTTCTGAGGCCAGATCTCCTAGGGAATGTGGTAAACACAGTACATCCCATATGAAGACAACCTACAATTGTACTGTGCCCAAAGAGAGGGCACTGTCAGTTCTACAGACCAGACGTCTCCAGATTTTGCAAAATGAGTTAATTTGTTTTCTAACATAAGCCACCCAGGTGTACCTGGTCCTTATTTGTCATCTCTTCAGGAGGGATGAGGGAGAATTAGAGTTTTGGTCCCAGATTAGGCCATATGTAAGGAGAAGTTCTTTTATCATGAAGATGAGAATAAAGCTAGGTCCTGTTACTCAATGGTGTTCTAATTCCTGCAGCTCCTGGTCCATGATAACCACAGTGAGCACTCACTGAGAGCCTAGTCTGGGTTCAAAGTATTCAGCACTTTACACCTAAGAATTTGCTTAATTCTCCTAACAATGCTATGCGGCAGGTATTTTTATTATCCCCATTTTCCACAAGAAGTAACTGATTCATTGAGAATATGTAAGTAACTTGTGCTAGTCACTGGGGGGCCCGGATTTCAGACTGGGCGATCTGGCTGATGGCTTTCCAGTGTTAAACTGCAGCTTATGCACAGGTCAGATACTGAAACTATAGGAAGCTCACTTACCCTTCATGTGATTTTTTTATAAAGTGTGCAGATGTGATCATGAAGAGAACCCTAGAGAGAAGAATTTGAGCTTATTGAATATTATTTTAAGATCAGAAGTCCCCTGATTCTGGACCACAAGATAGGAGCCTTTACCAAGGTCTGGTAAAGCTTCAGTGGAATAAACTTCACTGATGGAATTTTCACTCTTTCCCCAGAGAGATTCTGAAGTCGTGACATTGGCTGGCTTTCCCCAACAGTGGGTTGACTACTTCTCTCTGGTTCTACCTGTTGGTCTTCCCATCATACCCTTGGGAATTTAGAGAACCTAAACTTGGTCATAGCCCCCAGATCTCCTGCCTTTTATAGCCTGAATGCTCTCTCTACAGTTAGGCAGGGTGCTTAGGAGAGGACTCCAGGACTTGGGATTGGCCCAGGGTTGCGTCACCAAAGACACAGACAATCCTTGTGACATTTTGAGATGTTTGCAGCCAAACCCAAAAATCTAGACTGACCAAGCTAAGGCTTCAGGTTCATATACCTGGAGCATGGCTTTCTGGGTGGACTGCACCCAAGGAGATCGAGCTCCTGGGAGTCAGCCACATTCAAACCACTTGGGCAGCCAGAAGCACTGGCAAGCTCTCCAAATTTTTCGTTTTTACAGTGTTTATCATTAAAAAGCCACGCTTCTATTCCTGTTTTTTGATTTGCTAAGCTCCTGTCCAAAACAGGTTGCACAACTCATAAATCTTACTGAACTGGTTCTGATCAGAAGTAGGAAGGGAAGAGAAGAAACTTTTTGCTATTTTAAAGCATTATTGCTAATTGGATTATCTACTTTTAAAGCTAGGAGGGACAATGGGAAGCTTCTAACCAATTTCTCTTGTGACCTATCTTTCATGAGAGGTCTGAGCAAGCTGTTCTCAATACAGCCACAACACTCTGTCTTAATAGGACACGAAGAAGTCATTCTGTTCTTCATTTGTTCGAAGTCTTCAAAGCCCAGAAGTTTTCTTATTTTTTTTGTGATTTCACCCTTTTTGCCCTGGTTTCTTCCCATGCCCAGAAGTTTTCATCTTGGAGTCTATTGTGCCCTCTGCTGCCCCCAGGCCTGCCAGTCTAGCAGGCCAGCAGCCTTCCCTCTGCCACCACATCACTCGCTCCCATCTCCTGACACCCATGTGATGGGCTCCTGGTGAAAGGGCGTATTGTTCAGCATCCACTTCTGAATGAGGCCAGAATCACACTTGGTGGCCGAATCGCCTTTGGCTGCCCAGTGCAGACCATGAGTCTTGAGTGACTCAATCTCTCCCGGAATTGCCGTGGAGGCGGATGAGGGTTTAATGAGCAGAGAAAACAGTCATGCACAATCATACCCAGAGAATTTCCTCCAGAATGTGCCCTGGGTTGCTTTCAACTGAGCTATTCATCACTTGGCACTTAGAAAGGCAAGACACCCCAATGTCTTGGTGTCTGGCTGGATCCTCTGATCTCTCTGCCTTTTTTCCATGGAGCAAGGAGCCTGTCATTGCAGCCAATGCTGAACCAACAGGGGCCCATCACATTGAAGAAGAATCCCAAGGGTTCTCTTAGTTGTTACCCTGTCCCTTCAGCCAAGGCCATCAAATGACCAATCCAATGCACAGTCTAGAAAGCTCTTGGGTTGTTTTGAGAGTTTGGAGAACAGTCCTGTCCCTGCCTCCTAATGGGATGATGGGGAGTTGGAGAAGGTGAGAACATGGAGAACTGTTTAATCCCTCACTCCTGGTCCTGGATCCAAGAGTCTTCCTGGCAAAAGGAAGTGTGTGTCCCAGAACTGTTGCTTTACTGCACCAGAATTCTGTAACACCAGGTAGTCTTTGACGAGTGTGTCTTCAGGGAGAGAAACCACAGTGCGCACCCCTGTGTGTTGCCATGGTGATCAGGAAATCCTCTGGCCTCACAATCTTTGTTTTCTGCTTTTCGGAGCTTATTGATTTAGCAGACTGACTAGCACAAATCCAGGATGTGGTAAATGAAATGAAAAAGCATCTTGGGACCCGCATAGGGTTTTCTTGTTGCAAGTAGAAAATAAGGTTGATCCATTTGATTTTGTCATTGTATTTTGTTTTTCTGGGTAGTTTCAATGACTGATACATCACCTAATCAGTATATAGCTTCTGCTACTGTCTATAGCTGGCATTTTGTGGACCTGGTTAGCTTTAGTTTAAGGAAAGACTCTCATAACAGTTGAGGTAGGCTGAGAAACTGTTACTCACAAGTAATATCTGTATTTCAGGGGTGATTAATGGGTTACTGACATGTTGATGAGCTAGCAGCCCCCATCTGGGAGTATGATGCACTGGTTCTAGCCTTACTTCTGTTAATTATCAGCTAATTATGTGACCTTGAATAACTCACTATAGCTCCCTGAGGCACACCTAGCATTCCTACCACCCAGGTTGAAATAAAAAGTTATGAAACTTTTGGAGCTCATGTGATAAAAACGAGAGGGTCGATGTGCATACCTGGGACGGTATTAAAATCTCAGAAAGCTTCTCAAAAACCTCATATGAATTAAGACACATTTGGGCTTCACCCTCAGCAGAACAGAATTAGAACCAGGATTAAAGTACATCAGGCTTTGCTAGTCTTGCCATGTAGGAGTTTCCTTCACCAATTATAAAGCACAGTCACATCCAAAAGCAGCTTTGTGAGGCCCAGAGGACAGGTGCTATGGACCC